TTATTTAATAATTTAGTTCGATTTTTTATTGAGTTGCATATCGTTCCCCAAAGTTGTTGTCAATATTTCCATATATATTTCCATATGGGTTATGGGTTTTAACATTACTTTACTGAATAATAATACGACAATTTGTTTTTTTATAACACGGAAATTAATTTACATTAAAACATATTATGATATTTTTTGCATATACATAATTTATACTTACGGACGTCATGGATTTTCTATGATCTATAATAAGAAATCTGAATTTCAATAATTAAAACCTGTGACATAGATGGAATTTCATAATTGAAATAAAACCTCTGACATAGGTTATATTTAGCCTAGAGAACCAACCATTAATGATCTGATTATCTTTTCTTAATTTACAATGAAATCATTTATGTTATACCGGCCTTTCAATGTCGCATAATAGTTACACTTTTTATTACATCATAGTGTTTCTCTCGTAAGAATGTGATGACCTCTGAATATTACGGACTTGTTTACCAAGTATGTTATTTGTGACATTTTATTACAACTCGCGTCATAATTAAATTTTTAAAGTAATACATCTACACTGAAATATTTGTAGACACATAGCATGTAAAATTACATCCATCACCTTTTTGACTTTATATGTATTTAGTATAATTCTACCGTTTATTCACTTAATTGATTAACATCTTTAATAATAATTTTATAAATTACTTCATTATATATTTTTATTTTTCTTCTTTGTAATATCATTGTATGTAGGTTGAACAGGCAATATATATTTTAAGATAAAAAAATACCTTGACTTTTTACAATCTCTCACTTATTAAATGATTCAACTTAACTGGCATTCATGAACCCCAATGAATTAATTTATGACATGTAGTTGTACATCATAAATTAATATCGCACAGTTTTTTATGTACTTTTTCTGGTAATGATACTAATTGGACACAAAAAGTTAACTAATGCGTGAAGAACAGACTTTTGTAGGCATGGTCAGGGTCAAGTTCAATAGAAAAAAGAATTCATAGAAAGTCTATGAAAAAATTTTATGATAAAATTATGCAAATATTGATTATACAATAAAATAGATTAGAATAGAAATAAAGTAATATGTCAATGATGAAAACGTTCATAAAAAAATGGAAAGATATACATTTTTTTTTTTTTTGAGATGCTATATTTAGGCACAGATAACCAATAAATATTCATGAATATTGTAAATTAACAATCAATGTATTTTTATTGCGCTTTTCTATTTTTATTTCAATTGCATTTGTTATCATTTAATATCAATTCGATTTTTTAATTTAGCGGTTAGAACTGCACGTTCTAGTAGTGTTTATTAACGTATATTCTAAACTAGTTTTTTTTTTCTTGCGAGGGCAACCCAGCGGTCAAACACTCTTCTTTATTATGTGTAGACAACATATAATAAATATGTATATGTTGACATGTATGGGTTACAACAATCCCCACGAAAAGCGATTTTCATTTGAGATTATATATTTGAGATTTATAACTTCAAGTGGAAGTCGCATATCATCACTGCTTGATATCGAGCTGGACGAGGTCGATGCCGAACTGTGCTGGTTCGCGTCGGGGACTAACTTAATTTACAACTAAAATCATTGAAATAAGTTTATCGTCATGATATTCTACATATATTAAAGTTATGAATGTTTTTACACACAAAAGTTTATGTATGCAATTATTACCATTCAGTTGAGATGTATAAATCCAAAACATTCTCATTATCTGTTATTATTATCGTTAACTAATACTCAAAATAATATAAATGAGCAATGAACTTTGCAATTATTTAATGACTATGTAATATATTCGAATGCAAGCCTAATAAATATTTATTATCGAATGAAACAGCATTTTTAAAGATTATCTACATGCATGTACTTCAATAGCATAACATTTTTAAGGTTTTTATAATGCGGTTGCAAATAGATTCTACAGTGTTTAAAAAACAAATTAAAAATAGTAACAATGAAATTTAAAAAAAAATCGGTTTTTAAAAATATCAGTATCAACAGCAAGTAACAATTTGAAATGCGATAAAATATATATTTAACAATATACTAATATTTAAATTAACTTACAACTGTCTCAGTATAGATAGATTTTAAATTATTGCAGTAGGTTGCTTACTTTTCCCTCGAAATATTCTGCGGCAAGTCTTGGAAGGAGGGCACGGAAAATGTAAAACACCATAATAAGGCCGTTTCAATCGATACATTTGCTTACCGAGTTATTTATTGTATATTTTGTAATATATGTCAAACGCCGTGACATGAACGATAAATTCATTCGGAAAGTTGTTTCTTAAAAGCGGAAAAAGCTACGTGTATTTTCATACATAAAATATCGCAAATATATAAATTATGGCAAACGTCCCATCTAATTTAGTCTTGATGTTTTTAAATCTTTTTCAAGTTACTCTATTCTTGCTAGAATAATTTAGTTAGCAACTTGCATTGTTTATGAATTTATGTCTGAATAAAAATTACTTAAAGTTTAGTGAGCTAGTCAAATCATATAATACAATTTTGAAAATCATTTAATTTTTTAATTAATTTTAATTTTAATGCATTCAATTGTAATGTGATTATTTTCAAATTAATATTTAAAAATATACTCGTATCCCTTCATACTTTTTTATCTATAATAAAAAATAGCCTATAAATACTTGGATAGTCATTATAGTAAATCTGTAAATACTTGTATATTGACACCCTAAAAGTTGTCTCAAAACCTACATATGGTAGGATGTGCATACGTACTAGAAATGGGTAACTCACTCCGGAGTTATCACTCCGATACAACTCCTCCCTCGGAGTGAATCCGAGTGGAGTTTATTTTACAGGATTTGTCATATCCGACTTCCTTAAACTGGTATTAAATCTGTTAATTCGTACGGGCATTTAGTGTTTTTGTCGTTTTTGCTTTAGGAAGGAAGCGGTCACTTTCTTGTCTCGCAGGCAGTTTTATGACCTTTTTTTAGGTATAAAAGTCAAAATAAATACCATTGTGTATTTTCCAGAAAATACAAAAATGTTACTTCAAAGATACAGAACAATGAAATTGTATTCAAGTGTGAATAGCTCAAATATATAATTTATTGAATAGTAAGGGGTCATATTATTTACTACGACAATCTTTGGCCCTAAATGACGGCAATCTTCGGAATATACATACCGAAAAATATACGAAACGAAATACATTTATTTAATCTTGTTTTTCCATAGCCTGAAATAACAACACTTTAGAGTACAAAATTTATCAGTGATATCATTAGTATTTAAGCAGTGAAAAATATTCAGTATTATATTATTACTTTTACACAATTATATAATTGTGTAAAAGTAATAATATGCTAATCGAACTATGCGATATAATATTAATTCTCAAATTGAAATAGCAGAAGAAAAATTTTGAAAGCAGTAGTATTATGTTTTGCTTCTATTACAAAGTTTACTACATAATTTTTATATAAAATTAATCCAAAAAATCAATTATTTTCTCATCAAAAGGAAATCATTAAATTGAATTTGATTCTCAAGTTTTGCGTTTTTACTTTGGTCAACACTGCTAAAAATACGAGTCACTGAGTCGATCATCTGATCGACCGAAAAATTTTACAATCCGTCATTTATTCGTGAATTTTTTAGAAAAATTATTTTATTGATAATTATTCATAAATTTTTATTTCAAATAATTAATGGGATTTGACAAATCCTTAGATACATGAACAGCGTACTATAGAACACATTTGTTTCGAGTATTTCGGTTTCAAAATTGTCAGAGTCGTGGAGTTGTTTAGCGGATATAACTCCACCATGAAGTGGAGTCAAATCCGAGTCGATCCGGCTTCGGATATAATAACCCCATCTCTAGTACGTACCATATGTAGGTTTTGGGGCAACTTTTAGGGTTAATATACAAGTGTTTACAGACTTACAGCTGGGTAGGTCGAATTCTCAGATCAGATTCTTACCTAATTTAAGCTTGAATGACTGGACTATAGCATGAATTATGTACAGATATTTTCCACAGTTGTACAATGGAACAAGATGTTGAAGTGTTAAGCGTAGCTTGAAAATAAATTAAAGGCAAATGTTCGAATCAGTGGAAAAATGATCCAAAAAATAATATAAAGTAAATGTATTAATTATACAGGTCCTCAAATTAAAAACAGTTGTCTGTATTGGATGTGAAAAATGGCAAAATTGAAAGTCAAATGGCAAAAAATTGAAATAATTTACAAAAAACGACTAAATCTTAGATGTAGTGATTCTTCTGCATAATAATCAAAATCTTATGATTTCTGTCATTTCCTGGCTCTTTATACCTTAAATGACTATTGAGTTTTGAATATCTGAAAATGTGTTAAACTTAGATCATTTAAGTGAATTTTCAATAGTCATTTAAGGTAGAAAGGGCCAGGAAATGACTGAAATTTCAAATTTTGATTATTATGCAGAAGAATTATTAGATCGGAGATTTTGTGTTTTTTTTAAATTTTTTTGCTATTTGACTCTTTAGATTCGTGTTCAACAGTTAAAACTACGTTGGAAAATATATGCCGGACACCTAATACAGACAACTTTTTTTATTTTATGGACCAGTGTTATTAGTTATACTATACGAAATAATCAATATATAGATGAGTTGAAATATACTGTAGAAGAGACATTCGGAAAATCCATGTTTTAATCATAGACAATTGTATGTTCGAGGGTTAGAAAACAAAATAATTTATTTATTTATACACCTAAAGGTATGACTAAAAATATTGTATTTTTTTTGTCATTGGTGTATGTTGATGTGTATACGTGTTGGTGTGGTGTTGTATATCCCAGTGTATGTTGGTGTGATGTATACAATTCATTTTTGTGACAGCGCTTGGCTTGCGCAAGAAAATGTATAATAAATAACTTAACGCGCAAATGTATCAATTGAAACAAATCTCGTTATTTGAAATGTATTTTGTATATTTCCAGCGCCCTTATCCGCAGAATGTGTCGTTCCCCTGCGACGTATCCGCTGGAAGGAGTCAGGTGCGTCCCACCTCCGTTCATAAATTAAAAGCCGGCGATATAGATGTCGTTGCGGGACTCGGGGACTCGCTGATGTGCAACAACGGGGCCGCTGCCAGCAATGTGAGCAATTAAATGTCTAAAATATTAATTTTGAAATAATCCTCTTACGCTTTTGCGGAATTTATAGAGCCGACTTTCCCATTAACGTGAAAATAATCTCTTTCGGACGGCAACTTTAAACGAAAGTTTTGTGCATCATTTCACATACAGATGCATGAGGATGTAGATATTGTTAAAACACACATGCATAGTTTGAATATTTTTTAACATTAACTTTTAAACTATACTTAGCGTATAACGATTTTTCTAAAAAAAATTTGGATTGAAATTTTGTATTTGATTAATAGTAGGTATTGTCGTTTTTCAAAAACCGGCGTTTTTTTAGTAGAAAAATCGGTTTTTACTGTATAAATGAAAAATGATAAATATAGCCAAATATACCAGATGGAAGCAAGCGTTTCGATTCATGGAATCATATCTGTCAATTAGCATTTGTCGGTTTTTGTATAAACCCTAATTAATAGCAAGTTAATAAAGAAAAAACTATTTGTGATCATCTCAATCATTAAAAATTGCATATTATTGATTTTTTTTCGCGACCGTAGAAAATATGCTTAATATAGTGTTTTTATTTTTAATACATTCAAGTAATTTGGTTTATTACGTTATAAATATTTATTACTGATTCTATGATTCTATTAATTAAGAACATGATAAAATTCAAACTAGTGCCAGACAAATTTCTGGAACTTCCCATTTTCTAGCTAAAACAAAATAGGTAACAAAAAAAACTAAATCAATTATATTTTATTTAATTTTTATTTGACGATTGAAATGTATGTCGATTATGACGAGAAAATTGTATGATGGCTTTGATAGAATCTTGGAAAGATAATGTTCTTAAAAAAATTATTATGACCTTTAACTTTGCTTGAAAATTTAAAAAAAGGACATTTCTAAATACTGATAAAAAGTTTTAAAAACTGTACAATTTCTTAAACATTGAACTTTGAATTTTGTTGAACTTGCTAAAGTTTAAATACGAGGTTGTTGGCGAATTTGTATGGTAATTTCAGTACATTTTTTATCTGAAAATACATAATATTGATATTTACATATACATATATAATTTATAATATATATTCCAATTTTCAAAAAAAACAGATTCAAACTTTGTAACTTTTTCAAAAATCCTCAAATTATTGTTAAAACATTTATAAGCATTTGGTAATTTGAGTTTTTCTACGGTATTTTTTTAACCACATACAAATTCTTCAAAATATAAATTTATATATATATATATATATATATATATATATATGATACTTGAAAATCGGTTAATAATTTTCTATTAATTTTTCCATAACAGAATTTCCAAGTGGTACGAGAAAACCGCGGTCTGTCATGGGCTGCTGGTGGCCAAGGAACGTGGCGTGAATTTACTACATTTCCCAACATTATAAAGGTAGTAGACAAATAGAGGAAATAATTGAGCTCGGTAATAAACGCACAACGTGAGCTTTTGTCCATATATGTCGACTCATATTCGTCTATGACTGATATTGGCATTTCCAGACTATAAAACTATCTTGAAGTAAAGTGTTAACAAAGAAAAGAATATAATAATTTATAGTCATTTTGAAGAATACCGATTTGAATTATAGCATTTTGAAGTAGCCTAAAAATCCATATAAATTTATTTCAAATATATATAGATATACATGAATAGATATACAAAATTAAATTTGCATTATATATCTAAAACTCTTTAGAAAATGGCGCATATATCTAAAAGTTTTTAGAAAATGGCTAAAAAGCAGTTTTAGACTCACAATATTATTGTCATTTTAAATAAATAATAGATTGTTTTTCAGGATTACAAACTCAACTTCTAAATTCATAATCAAAATTCATAACAATTTTAGTCTTCGCATTTGGTCCAAACATTTTTTGCAAAAGAAAAATATCAAATTTATATCTTGACTTTTGCTTACAAATTATGTCACAAACAACAGAAATTTCTTTGTATACTGTTTTCAAATTTATTATTTCTTCCAAAACATGTTATATTTTGACTGTGGTTTTATTGAATAAAAGTTCAATGATTATAGATATAATAGATTCCAATTTATGAATTTATAACATATGAATATAACGTGATCATTAACACAGTCTAGTAAAAATTGCATTATGTTTATATTACTCATTAACCCTTTTGCTAGAAGAGTGTTTTTCGCAGTGACGCTGCTGTACGAAACAGCGAACTGCCCAGTAGCGCTACTGGATGGATCAGTAACAACTGCAAATTTTAAGATTATTTAATCATTATCAATAAAAAGGCATTAAAAATTAAAAATTGCTTTTTTAATGAACTAATTATATAATAAAAGATTGGTATTTTCAATAGTTTAAGTCATAAAGAGAAATCTTGAAGCAAAGTTTGACCCATCGCATGTCGTCTAAAGGTGATACCCTAGACACAGGTGGACAGGTAGTCATGTGGATGTCGCGCATAGGCGACAATCGTGGCGAAAGGGTTAAATAAGTTTACTGAATTCTTAATCATCATCATGTTTAATGAGTTACATCAGTAGTCAGTTTCCTCTATAAATTATTTACATTTGTCACTAATTACAAAAATAATTTATTGTACAAATTTTGAAATAATTACCAGTTAAAAACCAAATGTACTTGGCATGTAAAAACTGATTTTTATTTCTACACAAAAACGTTATCCTGTAAGTTCTGCCACCCGTGATACATGTGCGAGCGTAAAAACTATCACGTGTTAAAGGTGTACAATCCGGCGTTGCAAGGGTATGCAATATACGACGGATTCACGGTTCACAACACCAGTAAATTAAATCTTGGCGAACCGGGCGCGCTCTCCATCGACATGCTGTACTCGGCCCAGGTACTTCTACGGCGCATGCAGGACGACCCGAATATAGACGTGCAAAAGCACTGGAAGGTGAGAAATTGACAAATTGATAAATTGATAAACTGCATTGCCAATACGGTCACGGGATATAGATTTTGCTTGCTCGGAACTATTTATTTTTGTTGATTTCTCATTCGCTTTGTACATGTGTCGCTTGCTGTACGAAATTAGAACTCATGCTAGTAGGTATTGCATTTTCAGAATTTTTCTCGATCACCCTTCCTATCTATGTTGTAGTACTATCATCTAGTATATGTGTTTAGAGGTATATTAAGTATGTGCAATTGATTTTATTTAGCCTGTTTTATAAATACTTGCATATTTAATTAATTACAGAGATAAACTGCTACGCATTTGTCTTTAATTTGGATTTGAAAATCTATATAGGTAAATTGAAGACAAATGTTTGGCATATACTTAAAACTATTTTTATCATAGGTAAGGACACAATTCAGAATATCCTTAGCAATTATTACACTTTTTTCATGATTATTCAAATGTTTTCGAAAGATCAGACTCATCAACTGGCTACATTCATCAAACTTAGGGCTCATGCTTATACTAACCATAGATAAGTAAACATGATACTAACGTCACCGGAAGAAACACTTGCATCATCAATGAAAATCTTTCATTCATTCAAAATGTAGTACACATATGTGTACATATGTGGCAAATTTTGTTTTAAATAGAAAAAAATAGGGAAACAAAAAGTCAGTAATTATCTCTAGCATATACAAATATAATGTAAAAAATTGTGTTTAATTTTTTTATTTTAATATATTATTTTTGACATCATTATAGTATTAAAATTTATGGGTTATTTTACAAAAAAGCCATAATTATCAGGTAAATTATCTAAATATTGAAATGTGACCTGAAAGTTACGCAAGCACACAGAATTTTGTATTTCTTTCGTCACACGATATAGTTTATATACGATATACATACTTACATACAGTTTGCGTTTTTTGGTCGTTTTAAAAAGTCTTTTTTATAATTTTAATGCACAACGATGTGTGAATTAAAATATATCTGATTAGGAGTGACATTAAGCGATATTTCAAACTATAAGTTAGAAGAAAGGTTTTCCCAAACACATTTTCTTATTTCATTCAATAACAATTATTTAATCCATCGTATTTATTTTCATGGCAACACAAATGCCAAAAAAATAAAGAAGTTTATTTGATGTGATTTGTAATATAGGTAATTGGAATACAAAAAAACTGTAATTGAACCATATAAAAGATTCAATAATATAATATAATAAAAATAATTTTCAATTTTTAGGTAATTACAATTATGATTGGCGCCAATGATATGTGTTCCCATCTATGCTATGAGAGAAACCCTGAATCTTATCCAGAACTACATAGGCGGAATTTGATAAAAGCTTTGAAATATATCAAAAATAATATTCCCAGGTATACATTTGGCTTTATGATTTTATTTTTGTATAACTTTTGACATGATAAATAAATATTACCTCAGCCAGATTAGCTGACCACTCGATGGAGTGGCAGCTATTGAAACTTTTAAAATTCAGCCAATTTATTATGTGTGTGTGTATGACTGTGTGTGAGTATGTTTACTGTGTGAGTGTGTTTATAACATAAGCATAATAGCTCATAGAATTTTGTAAATTCTGATTGCTATTAAATAAAGTATATAAAAAAAAAAAAGATAAATAAATATTAATAACAACAATAATTTGCAAATTCATAACAACATATAATTTGCAAATTCATAGCGTATGCTGATTTGTTCGGAATATATTTATTGCAGATCGTTTGTAAATATAGTGGCAGTACCACCAATAAATCTTCTTACCGGATTCCGCCATCAGCCTCCTATTTGCTGGGCTTGGCATTTGGTTGAATGCTCTTGTTTCTTTGGCTCTCGGGTAGAGAAACAACAACCACGATATATAAATATATTGAAAAGATGGGTTGCCGTAGAAAAAGAAGTGTCCGCATTGCCCGAGTTTCAAGGTATATATTTTTATATTAACAATCTATTAATCTATTAAAAATAATGAAATAATGTCAACCAATACGAAATTTTTAATACAATTTTAGATAAAGAAGACTTTGCCGTTGTTTTCCAACCATTCACTACAGAAATCGAAATACCAAAAAATTCCAATGGTTTGGAAGATTTATCCTATTTAAGTGTAGATTGTTTCCATTTAAGCCAAAAAGCGAATGCTTTAGCTGGCGTCGCGTTATTTAACAATATGTTCCAACCCATTGGTCAGAAAGATACGAATTGGAAACCATACTATGATAATTTTCCATGCCCGCCCAAAGCCAATCCGTATATTAAAACGCATTTAAATAGTAATAAATGAATTGTTATAAAATTAGTTGCAATAATATTTATTTGTACATATGCTGTATAATAATTGTAAATATCTTAGAATAAATAGTTTTATTGAATTTTACTTATTAATATTCATTATTTTGACTATAGTATTTATCAGCACATATAATTAATTAAATGATTTAAAAATGCAATTTAAAAAAAAAAGAAAATACATTTTTGGTGGAATTTCCACTTCACAATGCTCTATATTAAATAAGTTCTATATTTTAGCAATATTTTAGTGCATAAGTGTAAAATAATTATTTTCGCTTACAACATTAATACAGTGGTGTTCCCATACAACGTGCGCCTCGCACAATGGACGCTGCGCACAACAAATTCTTTTCTGGCGCAAAGGCTTCGCACAACGAATGGAAATTCAGTCAGAGGGCCACAAAGACCCAAGTTATATTTCAATCGACTTTCTAGAAGATTATACCATGCATCTCTGTGCATTTAATCAAACCTTGTTTCTTGATGCTTTCCAAGAAGCATAACCCTGAAGTGTAATACTTGGAAATATTTGTTGTGAAATAATATATACTTTTTAGGGAAAAAAATTCTTAAAAAAAAGAAGATTAACAAAAACAGCAAAATTATAGGCCAGACATCCGATTTCTAGTGCTCACAAAAATTGCTATATGAAAATAGAATGCTTGCATATAGAACGCTTGCATAATTTTCTGTGGGTCTTGAAAAAGAGGAAAAAAATATCTAACAGTTTTTTTTTAAAAAAAATCAGGAGCTAAAAAGGCAAAAAGGATGGCAGTACCACTTTTTTGAATATAACTGATATTAACATATATATATATACAGTGCTGGATTTACAATAGGGGCAGTCGGGGCTACTGCCCAGGGCGGCAAATTTTCGAATATTGTTGAATAAATTTATTTATTAAAAACAAGCTGTTTATAAATATAAATATGTATTAAAAATTTGAATATTTGTAAACAACCATTAATACATTTTATAAATTCATACTAAAGTGCCTTTTCAATAATTAAATTTTTACAAGATTAGATTAATTAAATAGGTTCAGAATATACTTTATCATTTATTTTGGCATACCGGTTACTATGGCAAATACTTTTTCTTAGGACTAATCTCAGCACAAGAAAGCAAGCAAATTATTAAATTAACTTTTGAACAAGTTTCAATTTAAATTTGCATTTAAATAATTAAATCATCAGTAACTATTCATTAATTATGTGATGAAAATATGCAGCAATAGAAAGCTGATATTTTTATGGTAGCAAACCAATATTTTATGACAAAATATTGCAAAATCAATAATATTATCATATTATTATGGATTATAATATTATGTCCAATTATAAAATTCCTATTACTAATAGTAACATATGTTACAAGTTCTGAAAATCAGGTTAGTTCTATGTTAGTAAAATAAAAATTCAAAATAAATAATGAGGGAAAAAATACAATTGGACATAATATTATAATCCATAGTAATATGATAATATTATTATCCAAACCATACACTTGTTCAAAACGTAATAAAGTTAAAAAAAAAAATTAAATTATTTTTCAAATAATAATTTTACCTAAAAAAAAATTGAAGATTTTCAGATTGAAAAACAAAGATTATTTCAAAAGTTTTATTATATTGAATATTTTAACATTTAATATTAATTAAATATAATTAATAAAATAAATTGATAATTATTATAGCTAAGATGCAACTATTTTCCACACCACCCAGGAGGTATAGTTGCCAGGCGCGTTTTTTTTAATGTGGTATCGCCGTACAAATCGAGTACAGCCCTAGTCCACTTACAAAATAACTTAAATTAATTAACTAAACTAATTTACTAAGCCTAACTTAAATGATACGAATATAACATGAAAAATACCCCACGAGATGATTAAATGTATATGAAGATCTTTTTTTAAAAAAAAACCGTAGACGATGCAAGAACCTGTTAGAAATTAAAGGTAAAATTGTAATGTACTATGGTAATTTTGTAATTAAGAGAAAAAAAAAGAAAAAAAGAAAAAAAAAGTATTTACATGATGTACCCCCCTAAGATCCACCATGTAAATACTTTAACTTCATAGGTTCCCAGCACTATGGAGCTTATAGAGGAGTGCACTTATAAAGTTCATAAATTTGTGTATTAAGTATTGTTATTTGAATTAATATTAAATAATTGTGAAAAAACGCGAAATATATGCGAACTGGAAGGTCCTTGCCGTCTTCCCCACCCATTATTAAAATAAAAAATAGTAAACTACCAGCCTAATGTATTCTAGCCTAATTTTAACTTAATAATATATCCATGTGTACGTCCTCCAATTTTTTATGCAATTTTCTGGTTGGTTTTAATCTTGTATGTATCTTCATCTCGTATGGATTTTGATCTTCATGTTTCACTGTATGGATCTTGATCTTGAATTGTAAATATCAAGGTTTCGCACTGTATATATCATATCACTGTACACAACACTGTCTGGTACTGTATATAACACGATTTTGCACAAGATATATCTTATTTATAATATGTATATAAATCCGTCCACGAATCAAATATAAAAAATGAATAACGTAAATGGGGCCCCGATGAAATAATATAATAGAATAGAAAATGATCGCAAAAAAATAATATCTTATGGTCTATCTTAGCAAGTAAGATAGATATCTTAATCTAACAAAATAATATAGAAAATGATTGCAAAAAAACTAATATCTTATGGTCTATCTTAGCAAGTAAGATACTTATCTTAATATAACGTTCTACTCGTAAAGTGGTCCATCCTACTTACTAAAGTGATCTTAGTTACTTATTTGAATATACAAACGTTCTTCTGGTCGTGTGTGCTCCTGGCCCATCCTACTCCTGTACACTGGTAACCACTAACGTCCTGGTAAACATTCTTCCATTTTAGTAATAGAGTTTTTAGGATCTATTCCTCTGGTAACTTCTGTGTTCAACCTAAAATTAATAATTTTATTTAGTTCTATCAATATTAAAAAGATTTGTACATAGCTCAGAGTTTCGTACCATCTCACGAACATTGCCAAGTTCAACTGCCTATAAATTCAGCATTCCTCCACCAGGAGACTCATTGTGCGACCAGTAAAAGTAAAGTTAATTTATGAAATTGTGTTCATTACATTACAGCACGAAAAGTAATCAAATTAACTTTTTAAAAAAATATAACTGAATGTTAAAAATCTATAAAAAAAAAAGTTACTTCTTTCCATGGGCCACTTAGCAAAACAATAAAAAATTAAATTTAATAATAATTATAAAAATAATGGCACAAATAATATTAATTATTAAATTAAGTGCATGGGGTTACGTTGCTTCTGGGAAAACAACGCAGGGGTCCATACACTCAGAGATATAAAACAAAAATTAATCAATTAATAAATTAAATTTTAATGTGAAACCCGACTACTTGGACCTGCCGTGGGGGGTAGGCGGCAGGAACGTAGCTTCAAACGCGCAATTTTCATCATAATACGTTCGTTCGTTCGTTTTTCGAAAATTAAAAAAAAAAAAATAAAAGTGTGAACCATGTACTCGAAATAACGCAAAATGGTAAAAGAAAAATTACTTTCAACACTATATCAAATACACTAAGTTACAATTAATAAAAAAAAAGTTTAATGCACAATAAGCCTCCGAAGTTATTATTCACTACATATAACACTGTTGGCACTGTATAAAATCTGAAAAGAAACGAACTACATTAAAAATTAATTAAACGACTACATTAAATAATTATAACGAGTCAATTGTAAATAATTCCAACATAAGTTCAGATATAAATTTTAATATTGAAATAGTTTTCTAATTATAATCCTTTTTTCATTATTATTGACTTTGTAGATACGTACATTAGCCATTTTCAAATAAAATTATTATTTTGTACAATTATTATGCAATGTTCATGGTTTAATGTTATAAGACTTAATAAAATTTGTACATATACTACATATGTTCTTATTTCTATTTTTCATTTAATAATTCGATATTTAAATCAAAATGTATATTCAAATAAATTATATAAAAATTAATTTTATGTCATAAAATCATACCTAAATTCTACAGATGGAATTATTTATATTTATATAATATGAAATATATACAATATATATATATATATATATATATATATATATATATATATATATATATATGTACTTGCGCTTTGATTTGATTTATTTTTATTGAATTATAATTTAAATAAAATTGAAAACCGTTTTTATTTATATTATTGGATTTACATTATTTTCTATATTTTAATATAATTTTGGCCGAAGAGTTATTTCAAAACATTACATCAACTCTTTGGCAAAAATTATTTTGAAATAGAAAAAATAACATAAATCGATTTACATAAATAATGAACAGTTTCCATTTTTTTTTATTTATAATTCACTAAATAAAATTAAATAAATCAAAACACAAGCAAACACCATGCATAAATCATATATTCAAGAAACTGAATATATGATTTTTTTTCTAGAAACTACTTGAAAAAAGTTTTAGAACAACATTAATTATTATAGATGACTTACCTTTCACTGTAGTATCACCACGAGGTTCCAGCACAAAAAGGCTTAATACGGTGTTTGTGCCAGCTTTTATGGGGGCAAAAAGGCGCCAAAACAATATAAATCGTTACCGGTCATATTCGTTTATGTCATTTCCTACATATTCAAATTCAAATCTTATATTTTTGTCATAGATTGTTATCAATGATAAAATCATTTATCTTTGGTTGTTATCTTATCAATTATATAGGTATATAGGCAATTGATAGCGCTAGTGTTGGCAAAATGACAGATAACCTGTCATTGTTTATTTACATTTGGATTTTTGAAGAAAGTAAACAAATAAATTCAGTCTTAAAAGATTTTGAATATCTTTTGGAAAGATTATAGTGATTATATGGATACATATCCCTAATTTTAATTAAGTCATAATTTAGTACATTAATATAAAGTGAACCTCTGGGGTTTCCTTTTGAAATTCTATGTTATTTATCAAATTAATTACTGAATGTTTTTCTAGGTAGACAGATTGTAATTTATATGAAAATAAAAAAATTGGCTACATGAAAAATTTGTATACTTGGTATGAAATTATATATACTAAAGACGAAATTAAATTTTTAAATCAAAATATATTTTTAATTATTCAAGTGCTCTATTATACCTATATATACAGTGTTGGAAGTGCAAATTTTCGGGGGCGGCAAAATTTGGATAGTGAGAAGAAAATTCTATACCATATAATTAACTCATTTTTTTAATAACATTTTTAATTTCAAGAAATATAATTAACAAAACATTATACAAATGCATTGCAAAATTTGGCAATTTGGCTAATGTAAAGATTCGTAAGTGAGTTGAAAGTTTAAGACAAATATGTTCTTCAGATCTCGAGCCCTCTTAAAATGACGAATTTGTGCACTTCCAAGCTCATAGCGCCGAAAAAAATTAAATTAGTGATGCATGGCATTGTGCCTTATGGCAAGTTACTGAAACTTTCCGTACTGAAAATTACATTTTATAAAAAGCTTTAAATTTTTTTGAAAATGATAAAAATTGAATTTAACTAGTTGGTATTGGTATTTTGTCTTAAGGCAAGTCACATGAACTTCCCGAAATGTGTAAATAATCGACCTAATCAATAAAAAATAAATTAATTTATGAGTGATTATAAGTATTCCGAGTGGATTTATTACACATCATTGCAAACGAACGAACGAACACGTTAACTCGGAGTATTTTCTAAAAGCAAATTTTTAAAAATTAATAATTTTTATAATTGAACCAGTTTCCGTAGGACTTTAATGGTTTACTATGTTCAAGATCAAGTACACTACCGTTATACCAACTAAATCATCTAATTTTAATTTTATCAAACGTCAAAAAAACTACTCATTTTCTCAAACTTTGATGAATTTTTAAAATTAAACTACTTGTCGTAAGGCGGTAATATTTCAGTAAGTTCTATAAGACCATGATATATATCGCCAAAAAAGTTCCATGAAAATCGGCTTAAATTTTTTTTTCAACAGTTTTACAAGAAAACGGCTCGGTAGATTTTCACCTAAAACTGATCAGTATCATTCCCAACTAATATCTTTCGAACAGTTTTTGATTTTTTAAAATCGGTTCGGTAGTATGAGCTTGAATGTGGATGAAAGGTTTAACACTTTTTTCCAAATTACAAAGAAACGGCTTGGCCGATCGTCGCATAAAACTGAGAAACGATAATTCTCATCGAGATACATGAAATGCTTTTTAAATATCTGAAATCAGTTCAGGCGTTTTTGAGCAAACGTCGATTTACGACAAAAAATCTGTACACAACACACACACATACATACTTTTTCCAAATTTGGTCTCATTCGATTCAGAATGACTTGAAACGTCGAGAAAACATAAAATTAACGATTCGGATTTTTTGATGAAAACTTAAACTTCTCCTTCGGGAAGTTAAACTTTTTTTATATTTCGATTTTTTTTTTGAAAATTAAGTTTCATTTATTAAACTTATTAAAATTAAATTTTATTTGAGTAATTCGATTTCTATTGATAGTGAGACGTTCTGATTATAGTTATTGGCCAAGACAGGTCCAACTGTTTCGGAGATACGGGCCAAAATGCCAAAAATAATAATTCATTTTTTGAGAAACGGAACGTCCAATATCATTAAAAGAAATTTACATATATAGACAAAATGGAGAACTGATTAAATTTGTGGGAGGCAGGTCTAGCGGTTTCGGTGATCCAATAAAAAAATTTGGAAAAGAAACATTTGGCGGTCAAAAATGATCATTAGCCATATGCACATCAAATTATCAGATATTTTAATAATATGAATTTTGTTTACATTTCTATGGGTTAAAACATTTGTTATTAATCATCAATATTTATTGCTTACCATATATTATTACTATATAACTATATACTGATTTGTTTCCTCGAATATTGAATTCTGGTACGGGTAGTTCCAGCAATTTGCCTTGAGGCACGATGCTATGCACCACTAGTCATTTCAATTTTTGCTCATTAATTAACTTCCCGTAGGGCAAGTTATAGTAATCGCAAAAAAATCGAAAATGAAAATTTTTGCATTTCTCGACGTTTCAAAGGTTTCTGAATATTTTGGCATACCTTAGAAAAAATGGATGTATGTGTGTGTGTGTGTGTGTGTGTGTGTGCGTGTGTGTATGTATGTGCGGATACAAATTTTCGTCGACGATTTCGGGAACACCGATCAACCGATTTGAATAATTCAAAAAACATTCGATTCGTATTGATAAGGAGACGTGCTGATTAGTTTTTGGCGAAGTCAGGTCTAGCCGTTCCGAAGATACGGGGCAAAAAGTGCCGAAAACGGTAACTCAGTTTTTAAGAGCGTCCGATTTTAATAATTCAAAAAACATTTTACTTGTATTGACAAGGTGAAGAACCGATCAAATTTTCATAAAGGCAGGTCTAGCGGTTTCGGAGATCTAATAAAAAAAGTAAAAAAAAATGCCATTTGGCGGTCAAAAATGATCATTAGACATATGCACATCAAATTATCAGATATTTTATAGAGATTTTAACAATAAGTATAATTCTGGTTTACATTCCTATGGGTTCCGTACCAATGTTTACGCGTTAGACGTCGACGCGGCGCTTACGCGGTTTGATATTTCGTCTTTATGCAGTTAAAGCAGTACGATTGCTTTGAAAAAAAGTTTAGATCTTTCAAAATATGTCAAAATAAAGAAAACATTTTTTTTCAAAAAAAAAAATTAAAAAAAAAATTTAAAAAAAAATTTTTTTTCAAAAAAAAGTAATTTTTTGTCTAATTGTTTGTCAAAAATCTTATTTTTTCGAAGTAAATTTTTTTTCAAAAATGTTAATCGTTTTGAACATAATAATAATTTTTGGTACGGGAAGTTCCAGCAATTTGCCTTAAGGCACGATGCCTTAATTGCCTTAAGACAGAATTCCACTTACAGCTAGTTTCCTCTCTGGTGTCACATTTCGACACTTAATATGCCACAGTGCGTTTGTTCGCTTCTATGCTGAACGTTTGAATCGGTTTGAATCAGGTTCACTGATTTGGAAATAGTAGCTTATAGATGCTTACAGATGGCTATACCGTTACTATGCTTTGTTATTATCGCAGGCAGCATCAATTTTAAATCGGCTTTGAATAATAATAACGTAAAAGAACTTTGACGTTTAGTCCATAATACAAGATTTGAAAAATAGATGCTGAAACTGCGTTGAAATGTCAGCTTTCAAATTAGGCCGCAACGTTCTCAACATCAATCTGCTAAACTGTTCTAAATATGGTAAATCTCAAAATTTTCATATTACTAGATACGCTTACAGTACTAATTCGAAGCCCCAGAGAAGTACGTTGAAATTGAGCATAATTGGGGCCACTGTTGGAGTCGTTATTGGAAGCGCCTACTCTGGTTACAATGCATATGCTGAGAACAGAAAAACGCCGGTTTCACTAAGTCATGAAAATAAACCTTTCAAGCTCGAAAAAATGCCTGATTACCAAGCTACGAGACAAATTAAAATGTTACAAGACAAGACAAAGCTCAAACTAGTACTATTTCAATATCAAACATGCCCATTTTGCTGTAAAGTGAGAGCATTTTTAGATTATTATGGATTCTCATACGATGTAGTAGAAGTCGATGCAGTATTAAGGCAATCTATTAGGTGGTCAAAGTATAAAAAAGTACCTATATTAGTAGCCAAAAGTGAAGAAGGATATTACCAGTTGAATGACAGTTCAATGATTATATCTTTATTAGCATCCTATATGTGCGACAGTAAACAAACTGTCAGCGAGCTAGTTAATTATTATCCAACAGTAGAAATGTCCGATGAAGCAGGGAATAAAAAAAGTGATATCATGAATAAATATAACTTGATGTTTCAAGATAAGAAGTCAAAAAGATCATCTGATGATGTATTGTAAGTAATTAATTTCAAGTTTATTCTTGCATCAAAAATTTTCTGTTTAATGATCAATTTTATAGCAAATTTCAATTATGATTTTAATATTGTTATGAAGATGTATTTTACAATGGATTCAATTTAAAATTGATATTAAAATTTCATACTTTACGCTAATTTCATTTTTTGCAAATTAAAGAAAAAAATGTTAAGCATAGTTCTATACATTGATCGGTAGATTTGAGGTAGAGGTACAGAACATAGAGTTATATTCAAAGTATTTAACATAATTTTATCATAATGTTTGTCTTTTGTAACTAAATGGATCTAATTGGATTTTATATTTATTGTATTATGCAAAAACTAAGAAAAAATCTTCTATAATAATACAACAAGCATTGGAATTTTACATCAAATATATATATATAAAATATAATACATATTAAAATGTTTCTTGTAATAATTTATATTTAATCAGGAATTTCAGAGCTTTTATTCAAATAAGACTTTGCTTGAGGAAGCTCTTAATGCGTATAAGTACTTAGAAGGCTTTATGAAAATTAGCATAGTTCAAAATTAACTATTATTTGTAGGAATCAAAAATAAGTTTATGGTTTCTACATAGATATAAAATATATGAATTATCGCATCGACAAAATATGCATTCTGATGTAATCATTAAATTGTTTGTCGCGTACTCATTATGGATATGAAAAATTTATAATAGGTACCCTTAATGAACACAACTCTAAATTTGCATAATATACATTTATGTTTGTTTATGTAAGAGACTGGTTTGTGCTTCACAATTTATTTATAACATTGATTTGTTATCTCTGATCTTTTAGATGTGAACGAAAATGGAGAATGTGGGCTGATGAAAACCTTGTTCATATGTTGTCTCCAAATGTATATCGAACTTATTCTGAATCTATTGAAACATTTAAATGGTTTTCAAAGTCAGGAGAGTGGGATTTGCATTTTCCTGCATGGGAGGTAGCTTTAATGGTACATGTAGGTGCATTGGCCATGTGGCTCATAAGTAAAAAACTTAAAACGAAGTAAGTGTAGAATTTTTATTATTATCCTTTTTTATTATGAAGTTTTTTCATTAGCATTATTTATTCAGATATAATTTAAAAGATGATGTGAGAGAATCATTGTATGATAGCTGTGATGAATGGACAAAAGCTTTGCAAAAACAGAAGACTCCATACATGGGTGGAAAATCACCAAATCTTGCTGATCTTGCTGTATTTGGAATTTTAAATAGCTTTGAAGGTTGTGAAGCCTTTTCAGATGTTCGTAAAAATACTAACATTGGATTTTGGTATGATGCCATGAAACAAGCCGTAAAATCAAATGCTGGAAATAAGCTACTGCTTAAAGCAGCGGGATAAAAGTGTATTCGATTTTGATGAGGAAGTTCCATATATATGTTGACAGAATAAATCTAATTAATTCCAAAATAGTGTCTGTTTGTTTTATAGGTATCTTTACTGCTTAATTATTTAAGATATAATTTTATTGCCTGGTTGCAAATCCATTAGCGAGTGTTTATTTGTTCTGCACATATTGTGATTAATTTCTGCTTTAAGGAAAAATAAATTATTTACGTTACATTTATGCATTTTATTATTCTGCTATGAATATATTTTCATATTACTTGATACAAAAAATATAATGTTTACGGTGTTCAACATTTTAACGATATCTCGATAAATTATTTTTTCTTTTTCGTCAGTCTAACATATAAAATTGCACTTAATATTATTTATTTATAATTGATGCATAATATATAGTTATGTATAAAATAATTAGCTTTAAATGCTAATTATTCAAAGTATTCTTTCAGTGTTCTGTGATGTTAAGAAATTATTTGGATTCAACCATAAATGTATTTTCGAAAAACAAACAGATTTGATGAATTAATATATGTATAAAGTAGGCTTTGAAACTGATATTAATTTATGTTTTACATTGTATTTTTTGCTATACAATGAACGTTCTTTTCATTAAATAAATCATATTAAAATTAATTACATATAGTAACAAAAATTTTACGTTTTTTTTAAAATAAATTAAATACAAATAAATATAATAAATCTAAAGGAATGGAATACTTTTGAAATGTAAGCAAGTAAGTTTATTATTTGATATATTATTCTAAACGCACACTAAACGATATAACTGAATATAATTGATAACTATTTCAACTTTCATAGCAACTATAAATGATAGAAAATCGCCAGATTTGAATTGATTCACATAACGGGTTGATTGATTTTAGTTCAAGGAATTATTTTCTGGTGTATATTTAAATTCCATTGTAAACAGCATATCAAATACTTCATTAGTAAAAATTACAGATATACTTATTCGCTTGCTGTTTTAATTTTTTTAATAAAAGTTAGCATTACTGGAGAAATTTTTAATTTATCATAAAAAAAATGAAGTAAAAATAATTACAAATATTTTTTTGTATAAAAATAAGTAATTAAATTCAATATAAGGCAAGTGACATGCAAATTATTTAAAGATTCATCGGGCTACTTGATTTTTAACTTCAAACTCATTCTGAACCGAATGAGACCAAATTTGGAAAAAGTATGTATGTGTGTGTGTATTTGAACCAATTTTTTACCTTTGGCTGGACCGATTTTAAAAATTTAAAGTTGATTCGATGTAACTCGATAAGAATTAGCGTTTGTTAGTTTTGCGCGACGATCAGCCGAGCAGTTTTTTTGTTAATAGCAGAAAAGTTTCGCCCACGTTTTAAGCCACTATTTTAAATCAATTTTACAATTCAAAAATTGTTCGAAAGGTGATTGTTGGGAATCGCGGTGATTAGTTTTTGGTAAAGATAGACTAGCAGATACACGGCATTTTGACAGTACTTAGTAGCACTTTGTATGAAAACTGGAACTTAACATAGCCTTGCCATAACAAGGGTCTATTTTATCTCAAGATCGGCCCATAATAAATGGTAACAAAATTTTCATAAATATCAAATTCAATTCTCGAAATTTATAAATAAATAAAATATTATATTTTAATAGAAAAAATTGTGATGATTACATTTTTAAGTGCTTGGTCAATCGGTTGTAAGTGTAACGGGAATAATGTCTAATCTATACATAAAATTAAGGTGACCATATTTTTTAAAGTCAAAAACGAAATTTGAGTTTTGCTTACTCGGGATGGGGGGAGCATTGTGCTCAATATCTTAAATATGATTTAAAATCAGTTTTTCTTATTGACTGGAATGTTTTATTTTAATCAGAATAACTTACTTTTAATAGGACTTTAATATTCTATTATATATACTATATTATATCATATTTTTTCTACATAATTAACTTTAATAAAAATTAGCACTTGCGCAAGGGGTTCAAAAAGTTCGTTTTCATCATTTTTGGTAATTTTTGTAAAATTAAAAATCATTAGATATTATTAATGTGAGGGGCTATTTTAATCGGCTTTTAGAATTTTGCATTCGGCAATATTCTCATTCATAACGTATTGTTTCATTTATGCAAACTCGTTCTATAATATTATTATCAAATATTTGGTGCATTGTTGTAACTTTATTATCAAGTAATTGCAAATATTTAATTTATACTTATACTTTTTGGAAACCCGAAAAAGAACATCTAAATCCGGGACAAATATTGCTTTCAGAAAAACCTGGAAAATAAGATGAAAATTCGTGACTATCCCGGCCAAACCGGGACGTATGGTCACCTTAATAAAATATATTTGTGATTATCGAATAATTAAGTTCTCGTTAGGGTAACTTACAGAAATCGCAAAAAAATCGAAAATAATTTTTTTTATATATCTTTACGTTTCAAAGGTTTTTGAACATTTAAGCATACCTTAGAAAAAATGAATGTATGTTTGTATGTGTGTTTGTGCGGATACAACATTTCGTCATCGATTTCGGGAACGCCGGTCAACCAATTTGAATAATTTAAAATATATTTGATTCCTATTGATAAGGAGACGTGCTGATTAGTTTTTGGCTAAAGCAGGTCTAGCCGTTTCGAAGATATGGGGCAAAAAGTGCCAAAAACGGTAACTCAGTTTTTAAGAGAACGGAGCGTCCGATTTTAATAATTCAAAAAAGATTTTACTTTTATTGACAAGATGAAGAACTGATTAAATTTTTGGGAAGGCAGGTCAAGCGGTTATGGACTCTCAATAAAAATAAGTTAAAAAAAATGTCATTTGGCGGTCACAAATGTTTATTGGACATATGTACATCAAATTATTAGATATTTTATAGAGATATTAATAATGTGTACACATTTTGTGTAAATTTTCTTGGATTCCGTACCAAGATTTTCGATTACGGTACGGGAAGTTCCAGCAATTTGCCTTAAGGCACGATGCCATGCACCCCACTAGTTTTACTATCAATGTCTATAAACCCTTGAAAATTTTTATGTAGCATTGATGAACAAATGTTGGTGTATGTGAATCTTTTAATTTCGCCGCCGGCACTGGTTCATTTATTTTTACTCGGCATTCATTCCTCCTACTTAAGTCCAGATCGAATGCAATCCGTACCGTAGCGCTCACATCACTCCGCTTCAGTTCGAAGCGTTTGCTGGCGCGAGCGAGATGATAGTATACCTTCAGTAATACTTAGAGCGTAATGTCATCCGAAATTCTTGTGCAGGTTATGTCTGCTGTGTGCAGCCGGTTTAGTCAACAGTGAACATTTTCAATTCAGCATGGATTGAGCAAGTTTTTTTAAAAAAAAAGTTTTCGTTAGACAATTTGTGACTTAACTGTGGCTTCTAGTATTTTTTGCGGTAGTTTTGTATGGTAAAATAATGGCGATTGAAACTGGCAGCTATTATGATGGGAGCCGTTCATTGACTTGGCTTTCGGAACTTGTTGGATTACCCATTGATTTGGTGAGTGAAAAGTTTAATGTACTCCATTGTTGTTGTTGTATACACCGCGAAGGGCTGCATGTGCTGTTGTTTACATATGATCGACGCGAGATTAGTATCTGTCAAACGTCAAAACGCGATGTATACAATAGTAACATTCTTTGAAATTTATTAATATTTATTTAATACTGTGTAATTATTATTGGTGTATTATACTTTATATATTTGATATAATATTCTATATAAATTAAGAAAAGGTAACAGTTGCATTTAACCAGTTTTTGCAGGGCGTTCCTATGCTAGACGCCCTTTTGTTTTTGTTTTGATTTCGAATACTTGTTGCACGCGAGGTTTTTGAAGGAGGTTTTTCTTTAATACGCTCGTTCAAAATTATTCTTTTATGTGATTCTTTATAGTTTTTTTAATTTTTTTTTTAACTTAAAACCTAATCTTTTTTTTATTCTCTTTATCGAATTACAATCTGTCTTTACGAAAAGTAAGACATTCAGTAATTTTGATGATAATATCATTTCATATATTATCATCAAAATATTATTTGAAATATTATATTATATGAAATATTAAACATTAGATCTAGTAGAACAGTAGTAAGTCTTTTCAATTTTGATATATTAAAATTAAATTTTGTGATTATATAGAGCAAACTTAAAAATAAATTAAAACCTAATCATTGTTCCTCTTTATATAATAATGGCAAAGGATTTTCGGGAAAAGTATTGGGAAAATGATTATAATGCTTTTGAAGCAGATTTTTCTGTAATACACTCGTTTAAAATTATTCTTTTATGTGATTATTTATAGTTTTTTTATTTTTTTTTTAAACTTGAAACTTAATCATTTTTCATTTTTATATTATAATGACAAATGATTTTCGAGAAAAGTATTGGAAAAATGATTATAATGTTTTTGAAGCAGATTTTTCTGTAATACACTCGTTCAAAATTATTATTTTATGTGATTATTAATAGTTTTTTTAATTTCTTTTAAACTTAATCATTTTTCATTTTTATATTATAATGGCAAATGATTTTCGAGAAAAGTATTGGAAAAATGATTATAATGTTTTTGAATCAGATTTTTCTGTAATACACTCGTTCAAAAAAATTTGTTTTGTGATTATTTATAGTTTATTATTTTATTTATTTTTTAAAAACACTTTATACTTAACCATTTATCATTTTTTATATTAAAATGCTAAAGGATTTTCGGGAAAAGTATTGGAAAAATGATTACATACTGTTTTTTTTATTATTTTCTTATAAATTACAATCTGTCTAAATAGAAAGACATTGAGTAATTAGTTTGACAATATTAAATTTTAAAAGAAAAATCCAGTGGTTCACGTTTTATTAGTGCACTAAATTATATTTAAATTTTGGTATAATAAAGGAAAAATTGCATACTGTTAACCTCAATTTATTAAAACATTTGACCATTGTAATAAATTTTTCGTAACAATATTTGCAAACATTAAATTTTTATTAATAGTGCCTATTTTAATTAATTTTTGGCATCACATGAACAAAACATGGTATTTTTTATAATTAACTTCCCTTAGGGTACACTATAGTAATCGTCCAAAAATCGAACATGAAAATTTTTGCATATCCTTACGTTTCAACAGTCTCTGAACATTTTGGCATACCTAATTGTTAGAAAAACATGATATCTGTGTGTGTGTGTGCGCGTGTTTATTTTTTATCCAATTTTTCGGGCGCACCGATCAACCGATTCGGATGATTCAAAAAACATTCGATTCCTATTGATGGGGGATGCGCTGATTAGTTTTTGGCTAGGCAGGCCTAGCCGTTTCGAAGATAGCTGAGCGTCCGATTTGAATGATTCAAAAAACATTTTACTTGTATTAACGAAATGAAGAACTGACTAATTTTTTGGGTAGCCAGGTCCAATGGTTTTGTAGATTCAATAAAAGTTAAAAAATTCCATTTTGCGGTCAAAAATGATCATTAGACATATGCATATCAAATTATCAGATAATTTATAGAGATTTTAATAAGTACAAATTTTGTTTATATTTCTATTGGTTCCATACCAATATTTATCCGTTGGGTAGCTGTTACGTTTCCAAAAGCGGCTGCTTTAAAAAAAATTTAAAATAAAATTAAAATATAAAGAGAAAATTAAATTTTTGTTAGAGTTTAAAAAAATTTGAAGTTTTTTTAAAAAAAAATAATTTTTGGAACGGGAAGTTCCAGCAATTTGCCTTAGGCACCATGCCATACACCACTAGCTCACTTACAATTTATGAATTAATATCGTTATTAACATTAACCCTTCTCGTACCCACCTCAGCCCAGTACCGAGGTTTACACACAGTATTATATGTACACTTATATTATTATTATTATAATATTATATATATTATAAGAGTTTCAAATTTGACTCTAATGGTGGCGTTGGGGTCCAGTTGACCCGAGGTGTCCGAGAAGGGTAAAATATCATTTTATTAATATTTTTAAGAACGTGATCGTTATTGCACTGTTGAAGCTTGCACAAACAATTTCTATTGTTCCCTATTTATGCGTCTTGAATTATAAATACACAATATTCTCTTTGTTACACTCGAACATACGTGCTTTGAATAAGTTCAAATTAGGTGAACATATAGCATGTTCATTGTCTACTTTTAAGGATGGTGGTAATTGAGACACAAATCGGCATTGCTAGAGTTTTAATGTTTATAAACTAGAAAGAAAGCATTAAATTGCGATTGTGTAATAAAGCACTCATTTTGTCAACAATTCATTTCACTTGTTATTTAATTTCTCCCAACATTTATTATTCAGAGGTTTCGGGTTCGATACCCACTTCGAGCAGCTTGTTGTCAGGCAGCAGTGACAACGATTTTCACTTGGAAATATAGATAGCAATATGTTCCAAGTGAAAATAGCCCTTGCGCGGCATTGCTGTACCAATAAAAAGTCAGCCCTATTAGATTAATTCTAATAATAAAATCATCAAATATGGATGGCTTAACCATTGGGTTACCATTTAAAATAAATACGAAGTAAGGAGAAGTTTCAGCTCAACAGCTCATAGGACGTAAGGTTCTGATTGCTGTTCAAAAATAATAATAATAACAAAAAAACATTTATTAAACGGCGGTGGTGTAATCGATACGGATGTGAGCTAGCATCAACTTATCCCGGGTTCGATGGTTCGATCCCCGCCTCGGCCAACCCATCTGTTCATATTGGATATGAAGGTGACAACTTTCAGGGCATTAAGCTTTACATGGAATAAGTGCTACCCCTGTTAGAGGGGGTAGCGGAGTGTTTTAATTAAACTAGTTGTTCACTTCAAAAAGTAAAGTCCGCGAAACAACACATCATCCTTCATTTACATGTCGTTTTTAAGAATATAATATCGCTTGAATCCGAAGTTCTTTAGATTAATTAGAAGTCTGTATCAGAGTAAAAATGCGGGGCATGCAGGAGAATAAAGTAACTAGTAACTTACTTTGAATGTTATATTGGATTTATTTCAAATATATGATACTTCATAAAACGTAACTAGAAATAAATTATGTCATAATCATAAATAATACATTAAATGGACATAAACATTAATGCGAGATAAATCTATTACTAGATATGGATGAGCATCGTCACATGTTATTAGTAAAACAAATTACCAAAATAGACAAACTTTGCGAAATATTATGCTAATGATCATAGCAAATTACGATAGATTCATGAAAATATATAACTATCATAGCAAAAATATTCTAATGATCATAGCAAACAATAGATTAATAAATATATATATATATATATATATATATTAGGGTGGTCCTTAAAATGGTCATTTTCGAATTTCTTTGCTCCCAGGGGCTCAAATGGTTCCAAATAGATAAAAAACAATTCTCTGAAAGTTTTAGCTCTTAATATTAACGTTTAGATAGAGCGCAATTCAATCAAAGTTTGTATGGAAAGAGCATGGAAAAATTTTTGAAAATTAAAAAAAAATGTTTTAGGTATAACTTAACGATAAATGAATGAGTTTTATTCATTCATTTGTTCGCTAAATTATATCTAGAATACATTTTTAAAATTTTTGAAAATTTTTCCATGCTATTTCCATACAAAACTTTGATTGAATTGCGCTCTATCTAAACGTTAATATTAAGAGCTAAAACTTTCAGAGAATTGTTTTTTATCGATTTGGAACCATTTGAGCCCCTGGGAGCAAAGAAATTCGAAAATGACCATTTTAAGGACCACCCTAATATATATATATATATATATATATATATATATATATATTGTGGTGCGTAAAGAAATGATAAAAAAAATATAAAAAATAGAGCAATTATGAGTTTGCATAAGAACAATATATTTAAAAGCAAAATGATAAATGTAATAATAAAAATATGGTAATAATATTTTTAACTTCACAAAAATAAGTGTAGGTAATTTTCTAAAATGGTACTTTGTTCTGATTATATTTAGCTTGAATATATAATACTTAACCAGATTATATTTGCATGTCTAAAATTAAGAACTTTAATATTTTATGGTTGAAATAAAAAAAATAAAACTTTTAATTTAGTTTGTTTGTTTGAAAAGATTTATTTTTACAATAATAAATTACATAAAGGAAATGTGAGTAATTAGGATGTTGTATATCTATTTTATGATCATAATACAATTTATTATCAAATATTCACTTGAAACATTATTGATAATACAAATTAAATAATTTAAATAAATTATGCAAAAACAATCACAAAAACAATATTACAATGTTAATTCATAAAGGTGGCTTATATTTTTTTTATTGAATATGAATGTTGGTAGGTTGTATGTGTTGTAGGTCGTATATCTTGAGATATAGAACCAATTTCCGTTATTGATGGCTTGTTTTAATTTAGTTAATATCAGGAAAAATTTCACATGGCAACTTTATTAGAATTGAGTTAAAATTGAATCTAGGGGACTTGAAAAACTATGTTTATATCACACATACATGACTGGCAT